ATCTTATAAAATTTTATTCACCTTTCAAAATGAAATGAGATTTCAAATCTGACACAGTGGAGTTCTTATCATTGTTGGCCTTCTCGTCATTAACTTTAATTTCAGAAGAATCGATGTTAATGTTAGAATTTTTTTTAATGGGAGCATTACGGATTTTTTCATTTTTCGATGAATCAGTCAGTATATTTTCCGTTGTAATTTTAGTAATATCATTTATTTCTTTATCTTGCGTATGTTTATTCTGACCTTCCCAGTACTTCCGATAACTTTGGATAAATTCATTAATCTCTGACTCAGTCTTAACATTCCCTACCCAGGGATTTTCTTTATCGTTAGTTAAGGATTGTATAGGAATATTATCGTCTTCCTCTCCTTCTTCGCTGTCGTCAGGCTTTTTTAACTTCTGAGTCAATTCTCGACTAACTGACAATTGTTGGGCAAGTTCCTGTCGAGTCTGTCAACAAAATAAATTATCTGTTTTATGAAAAATAGATAGGAGGTATCTTTGCATGTACGAAGTAAAGGTACTGTAATTGTTATGATATTGAAATTCTTTCAGCTTTTAGCTGTACATGTACAAAATACTTACTTCTTTATCATATTTTGCTCTGATTTGCTTAGACTTAGCCCACTTTCCTGTATTTTTATGTCTTAACGACATTCGTTCTTCTGCTCTAGTTCTATCCAATTGTTCAAGTTTTTCCAACGCAGCTTCTGGATCAGTTTTTTGCAGTTGTTCAAATTCTTTTAATTGCTGTTTTATCTTTTCCTTCTTTTGCACGCGATGAAATTTTTTACTCTTAATCTTGTTTTGACGCCGTGCCTTTGCTTCTTTATACGACTGAGGGAAGAATTAAATTAAAATGGTATTTGAGAAAGTATCGAAGTACTTTGATCCTCACCTGTTGTGCTCTAATTTTCGCAGCTTCTTTTCTCTTAATAGCAATTTCTTTTAATGTCAAAGAGAACTCGTCGTCTTTCTCTTCAATATTTTCTTTCTGTGGTTCTAATGCAGCAAGTTCTTTCTCTAGATCTGATTGAATTCTAAATTTTTTTACGAACTCGTTAGATGATTCCAATTTTAATGACGAATGATTCAAAGGAAACTGAAGTGAGTCTGCTACTCTGTTCTTCATTATTACTGCGTTCCATTTTTTTTTAGTTCTTTCTTTGTACCTTCAAAGCCAACTATTCTCTTTATCTAGAAATTAACAATCTTATCAATTTTAAATGTGTATTATTACATTATTCTTAATACTTATGTAGAATTATGTACAGACTACGATCTTTTACTACATAAAACAACTAACTGTCTCACCCTTTCTGCTGCAGGTTTCTCCAATGGTTTTGGTAATACACGAATATTCTTTTTTGCTGTTTCTATGTTCCTTGCAATCTCAATATGATGACCTTTTTTCCTTAAAATTCTAGCTATTTCCTGCACATGAACTGTATCTTGATCAGATATGCCACTTTTAACCAAATGAAATTCTGACACTTCTAATGTAGGTTCACTTCTTTCCACTTTCTTCACTCTGTAAGGTGATTATACAACTATTTAATTAAAATTTGTTGTGCCATGTGACATATTATTTTCGCTATTTAAAATGTCTTTCTCATGGAATAGATGCAGTTCCCATATAATATTGATTTAATTATCTTTATAT